GTTTTAATTTCTAACCTTATTTATTTTATTTCCAGCACAAAAAATAACCTCCTTTGATTTTTTAAAAAAATAATTATAACATCACGGAATTTAGAAAAATAGTCTCCTTTCTTAATTCTTTCCTTTTTTAATATCTTTTTAAAAAATAATTATAACATCACGGGATAATCTTCAAAGCTTTTCCTTTTTTATAAAACACACCGTGTGATGCGATTTAAATGTTTCCTTTCTTATTTTTTTTCCTTGTTTTAATTTCTTCATTTTATTTAACTACAGGTTTTACATCTTTTTCCTTTCTTAAATCTTACCTTAAACATCCCATATTATTAATACCTAGGAGCTGCTGCTTTTCTTTCTTAGTTCTTTTTCTTTTAATATTCCACGGAGCATTTGTTGTTAATTGTACCTTTTTTCAATATTAGCATAATTAGACAATTTGGTATATTTGGTAATAATGCATAAGAACCGTAGATCCAATAACATTTTTTTAAAACCAACATCTTTACTTTTTTATATCACTTAATTCTTTAAATGTGTTTCCTTTTATTCCCTTTTTTTTAACATTACACGCTTCATCTTCTTTATTAATTATTTCCTTTTTCTCAAACTCTTTATTAAATACACACGGATTTTTCCAAAAATAAAACTTTCCTTTTTTTAAATAGAATACACAAGGATCCCTAGGCATTTTCCTTTTTTTTTCATAATACACACGGTCCATATTTAATAAATGTGTTTCCTTTTTTCCTTGTTTATTATAGAACATATACTCTGAATCATGTTTAAATCGTTAAACATGATTGGGATCGTCCATCTTCGACCCAAAATCCTGCTTTTTAAATCGTTAATTTTGCAGTTTTGTCTTTTTTGCGTCTTTTTCCTTTAATTTTAACTTTTAACGTAAAAATCTTAAGTTAAAAATTACTCCGTATAATTTTGAATTTGTAAATATTCAATGTAAAAAAAATATTTTTTATCTTTAATTTTTAGTTTTTATCTTTTAAATTTATAATTTATTTTTAATATCATATATTTTTGTGCGACCAAACAAAAAAATTTGAATTGAGATTTTTTCATTTCCAATTTCATGACCTCAATTTCGTGTACTAAATGATGCCTAATTTTATGGTTTTCTATAATTAAGATATTTAAATTAAATGTCAATAAAATCAATACCGACAGATAAAACGTTGTTGCTAAAACTATAAAGAATACCGACAGATAAATTTTTGTTGCTAATACTATAAACAATACCGACAGATATATTTTTTGTTGCTAATGCTATAAACAATACTGACAGATAACGTTTTGTCGCTAAAACTATAAGCAATACCGACAGATAAAAGTTAGTTGCTAAAACTATAACCAATAGCGACAGATATTACTCTTTCTGTGGGTCAAATAGGTTTTGCCTACAAATAATTTTATCTGTCGATAATATTCTCTTTTTAGCGACAAATAAGGTTTCTGTCCCTAAGAATCTGTCGGTACTGCCCTCTTTTTTTGTAGTGAACTATGGTTTTTTAGTGTAAGAAAGAGAAGGGTTCATAAAACTTTAATAAAAAAAGTTATTTAATGTTATAAAGAGAACATTTTTTATGAAAATTTAGAAATAATAAATATATACATGGCATGACATACGCCGAGGTGTAATACACACGTGACATAAAAGTTTTATACAAATGTAATGGTCATCAAATAAAATAATAATGAAAATTGTTCTAATTAATAAAAATTAAAATAAAAATGTCAAAGAAATCAATTACGTAATGGCGCATCATTAAAGAATACATATGTGTCATGTGCCACATGTGATCCTTCAATTAAACTTTCACTTTGTTTAATTTTCTAAAAAAAATAAATAATAAAATAAATAATGTAATAAGATAAAAAATTGAAATATGTTATAAAGTTAATAAAGATGCATGTATGAAATTTATATACTCCCTCCGTCCCGGAAAACATGGGAATTTTGATTTTGAAGAGAGATTTAAGGAGAGTGTAATTTGGTATTGAATTTTTAAAAATGTCCTTTGATGTAGTGAGTAAAAATATGATGTGATAAGTAGGGTATGAAAAAGTAAGGGGTAAAAGTATGATTGCATGCGAATAAGGTTTTGTAAACGGAAAGCGAGAGGGAGAGATCCGCTTCTTGGGGGCCAAGCAGCATTAGTCCCAAAATTTTAGAACTCAATTTTATAATTACTGAAATTTTAGGTTTAACTTTTACAAAAAAAATTGAAAAAATTATTTTAAATGATCCCACCATTTCATTTTTTTTCAAAAATAATTCCACTTTTTATTTTCACTTCAAATAATCTTACATTTCTGCATGTGTGCGACTTTCATACTGCCATTAAAAAACTAACGGCCACTCAGCGGAATTTTTAGAAAATTCATATATATTGCAATTAAATAAAAAGTGAGATTATTTTAGACAAATTTATTTTTTTTCTTTTTTAATTTTAAAATTTATTTTTTTAAAAATATAACAGTGCATTCTTGTTAGAGATTTGTCTCAATTTTTTTTAAAGAAAAATGATTTAGGAATTTTGTTTTATGTTCTAGGATAAATATTATATTGGATTATCAAAAAATAATTTAGAATATCGCTCGAGAAAGAAATTGCAATACGAAAATAATTGTAGTGAGTTATAAAATTAATTAGTCCCCTTTTAGAGAAAAAAAATGTGTCATTTTCACAACTTTTGAATTATTATTTTGTAAGGAAAATGTTTGTACTAAATTATCAAAAGAATACAAGTTGGGTAGTTCTATTTTGAAAAAATAATGCCAGTAATTGATTTGCAGTATAGAATGGGCAAAAATAACAACTAAAAAGAATCCCTTGTAAGTAGGGTGTCGAACCTCAGAGAGACGTGAGTTAATTTAATTTAAACAAAAGTTTACAAAAGAAGTTGTAAAATATTTTGGTCTTTTTGGTTTTAAAGATAAAATAAAAAGTGTAAAAGAAAAGAGTTCCAAACAACACAAAGTTTTTGATGATAAAAAGTTAGGGGTAGAAATTGGTAAATTAATTGTCCAATGTTTTTATAAAAGTTGGATTGTCAATTTATTTTTATATAGAATGTGTGGAGTTGCAGAAAAGTATTTAGGGACGCTCTCGCAGTTCACCTAAATAATAACTACTCCGAATTTAATACGCTAATGATAAATCCGGAGTAATTATTTAATAACAGCGGCAACCATAATTATTTTATTGTATGTTTACCCAATTTAATGGTGTAAAAATACAACTCAATAATTATGTCCACCCGAAAATCTTCAATCCCGGTTAAAGGTAGAGAAAACATACGGTGTAATTAAAAAGTGTTCTATTTTATGATTATTTCAATTTTAGCTCATATTCCTTTTAACAATTATGTTTATGATTGGGCCCTTAATTAAAAATTACAAACATTTCAAATTTATTTATTTTTAAATACAACATCTAAGTAAAAATAAAATCAACAATCCATGTTAAAAATATTCAAAACATTAAGATGGACAATTAATTAAACCAACTTCTAACCCCAATGGAATTTAGAAGTTCATAGTTTGAAGCTTAAACAAATAAATATTTATTACAATAATAAAAATCTTACAAAATGGAAGATGTGTTCTTGAGCTCCAAATATGATAAATGATGATGAAAATGGAGTAATTTTTATGTGTTTGGATGAAGAAAGTGGTGAGATATTAGTGATAGAGGAGGAGAATTTCGGATTGGAGAGAAGAGAGAAATGGGGGGTTCCAACCTCTTTGAAGAAGAGAAGGGAGTGGATTTTATAGATAAATTCGTATATACGGAGTATATACGAAAAGTTACAACTCCAGTCAATACAAATACAGTAGCGCACATGGAAATTAAATGCAGCTGGTTGTCTTGCCGTGTCACCCGTGTTCGAAGCTTCCCACCGTTCACTGTTTTGTCATTTTTCTCTCTGGATCAATGGCCGACTTTCAGTTCAGAACATAGCTGTGTTCGCCAATGATATGCTGAAATAATCAGGTTCTGCGCGATGGTCAAAGCTCCGGTTCCACATGCCGCACGTCCAGAGTTTGAATCCCAGGGCTGTTTTATTATGCTTTATTTTTGTTTAATTCCTTCATTCCTTCAAGTTTCTTCCATTTATTTTGGTTCCAAACTTCCATGTTTATTTTCCGTCCTTGCAATTATCCTAAATGCATCCAAATGACCTCAAAATGCCTGCAAAACATATAAAACCAAGCATAGGACCGCTCTACACAAATAAAACAGAAAATTGAAATAAAATATAAATATTAAATTTAATTGGGACTCAAAACTCCTTCAAAATATGTCTAAAAAGTGTATAAAATATGTGCATATCAGTAATAGAAGATTATCATCAATTCAAATTGACGTTCAAGAAAAATAATTACGACTTACAAAAAAATATAGTGAGTTCTTAAGTAAATAAATTAGTTCCGTGGTGTAGAATAATTTATTATTTAAATATTAAAAAATTATTGATTATTGAAAAAAAATTAGTTACACTCTAAAAAATACTTAAATTTTGTGGAGTATTATGTATAAGAACATTTTTTAAAAATGCATTTAAATTTAATGTTAGAAATTAAAAAAATGAAAAAAGAAAATTTATCTAAATAATCTCACCTTTCATTTATTTACAAGAAATATGCATTTTTCCAAAATCTCATTAAGTGGTCGTTAGCTTTTTAACGACGATCCAAAATTCGCACACATGCGAAAAAGTGAGATTTTTCTAGTAATAGTGAAAAATAAGATAATTTTTAAAAAGAGCGTGAAAAGGTGGATTATTTGAGATAATTTTTTCAATCTTTTAAGTCCATATTTCTAGTTTTATAATACAAGAAAAAAGTTGATACCCACAATTTTAATTTTTTGGGTGATTACAATAAAACAGGTTTTATAACGATTTATTTTTAATTTGTCTTTTTTTCAAATCGATGTTAACTAGGATTTTAATGAGATTTGATTTACTTTACTGTGAGAAATTCACTATGTCCTAATTGATATTTTTAAATAGGGAGTAATTTTAAAAGAACATTAAAAAATAGTTCAGTCGGAATAGTTGAAAAAAATCTCTTTCTAGGAAATAAATATAGCAGTTTTTTTTAAAAAAAGTATTTCTTTTCAATTTTCTCATAAGTTCCACGTAAGCAATGCCCCATTTCAAATTATTAGAATTTGGACCCTTTTTTATATAAAAGAATAAAGGATATTTACTTCCTTTTTTCGGATGCAAAAAGTACTCCGTATGAATAGAGTCGGCAGAACAATCGTATGTATAGTAGTTTGGCCTCCAAGCATCTCTCCGCTAATATTACCCCCTACCCAAAGCTCTCTTTTCAGATCGGAACCCTAGAAAAATCTTCCCCAAAAATGTCTCTTCTTCTCGGCCCCCCCGAAATCTACAATTCCATGCCATCCGCCCGTGCCGGCGACGCCTCGCCGGCGGAATCCGGCGCCTCGGACCCCTTCATGGATCTCATGATGAAGAATTTCAATGCCGCCGGCGCAGATTTCCTCGGGAATCCGAAACTAGGCCAGACAGCCAAGGGGGCGCCCACTTATCTCTCCTCCGGAAACCCATGCCTGGACTTCTTCTTCCAGGCGGTCTCGCCAATTCCTGTCAAGAGCGACCACTACGATTGCTGGGGGAGTCCGACTCCTACGCCGGCCACCGTGAACAGTGTCGATGATATGCTCAAACGGTCTTGGAATCAAGATCCCCTGACTACGCTTAAACTCCTCTGCAATCTCCGTGGAGTCGGCGGCACCGGGAAATCGGACAAGGAAGGCTTCTATGCTGCGGCTTTGTGGCTCCACTCGAGCCACCCGAAATCCCTGGCCTGCAATCTGGAGGAAATCGCCAGATTCGGCTACTTGAAGGACTTTCCGGAGATTCTCTACCGCCTCCTGGAAGGCGGCAACGTCCGTGAAAGGCAAAAGGCTGACCGGAAGCTCCTGACCGAAATGAAGAAGGAGAGGAAGTACATAAGTTTCGGAGGGAAGAGGAAGAGGAAGAAGAAGCAAATGAACAAGCCAAGGAACCCTATGACAGAGGAGCAAAAGGAATCCAGGAAATTAACGGTCCAGAAGAGGACCGATGATGAAAAGGCTGCAGCGAAACTCCGGCGAGATGAGAGGAGGATTCAGAAGGCTAAAAAGGTCATCGATCGGTTCAAATGCGATCCGGATTTCAGATTCTTACACGATCAGGTCTCGGATCTCTTCTCCAAATTTCTGAAGAGAGATCTGGAGCTATTGAAACAGGGGCCGTCCCCTTCGAACCTCAGCGAGGCTGCGAAGTGGTGCCCTTCGCTGGACTCCTCTTTTGATCAAGCCACTCTCCTTTGCGAGACCATTGCGAGGAAGATTTTCCCCAAGGAGGAGAACCCAGACTACCAAGGGATTGAAGACGCGCAGTACGCATACCGGGTGAGGGATCTGCTGAGGAAGGAAGTTCTGGTTCCTCTCCGTAAGGCTCTGCAATCGCCGGAGATCCCCAAAGAGAACACTTGCGTTCTCCTCCCTCACCAGATTGTGAAATCATTGTCAGACGAGGATGGAGGCGCCCGTGCAGATTCAAGGTGGAGCAGAATGGTGAAGGAGATAATGGGCTGCAGCGAGGGGAAGAAGGGGATGAAGAATTGCCTTGCAATTTGCGACGTTTCTAGTTCCATGGAAGGGACTCCATTGGAGGCCGGTTTGGCTCTGGGCCTTCTGGTCTCGGAGTTGAGCGAGGAGCCATGGAAGGGGAAGCTGATCACATTCAGCGAGAAGCCTCAGCTCCACCAGATCAAGGGGGATAACCTTCTGTCCAAGGTTGGTTTCGCCAAGAACATGAAACTGGTACAGACCAAAGATTTCCAGAAAGTGGTGGACATGATTCTTGAGGTGGCTGTGAAGGGGAATCTGAGGGAGGACCAGATGATCAAGAGGCTGTTTGTGTTCACCGACATGGAGTTCGACCAGACCCCTTCCTTTGCAAAGGAAACGGATTACCAGGCGATAGAGCGCAAGTTCAGGGAGAAAGGGTACTGGAATTGCGTGCCGGAGATTGTTTTCTGGAACTTGAAGAGCTCCAAATCGACGCCGGTGCTGGGGAACCAGAAAGGGGCGGCGCTGGTCGGCGGCCTTTCTCCGGGCATGATGAGAGTGTTCTTGGAAAGGGACGTCCTCCCTAATCCTCTTGTGGTCATGGAGTCTGCCATTTCCGGAGAAGAGAACAGCAATCTTGTGGTCATTGATTGATTGATCCATTCTAAAATATTCTTTGATTTTGGTAATAGATTTTAGTTGCTCAAAGAACTACTCATTTTCGTTCTTTTCTGGATGACCCCTGACATGAATGATTTCATCTGATTTTGAGTAGTTTCAATGGCACAATGTCTGATAAAATTGGTTCTGAATTAAAAAGGCATGAAAATGGATTATGTTCTAGGAGAATAATTCTCTTTTTATACGAAGTTGTTTTAGAGTAATTTCTTATATGGCCCCTAACGGCGAACGATTTGAGAAAAGAAATTTTCATTTGGTATCAAAATAGGTCGGGGTAAATTGATATAGGTAATTAGTGAAATTTACACTAGCACTAAAACATAATGAAATACGGAGTATTTACACTAAATAGTACTAAAACTTAATTTATTTCTCTAAATAGCACTTAATCTGTTTTATTTCTTAAATAGCACTTAATAATGTCCATATTGTCCAGTAATGATGAATATTTGCTTAAATAATGACTAATGCGTAATGACTAAAAGTGCTACGTTGTGAAGAAAAATACTTGTGCTATTTAAAGAAAGTCATTATGTTTTAGTGATATTTAAGTAAATTTCTTATACATAATTCGTTCCCTAAACTTAATCTTTGTTATTCCCTAAATAGTACGGAGTACTTAATATGTCTACTATGAGGAATAATGTTCAGTGATGGTGACATTTACTTGAATAATGATTAATAGATAATGACCAATGATCTTACATTGGAAAAATAAAAACATATGGTCCTATATTGAGAAAGTCATTATGTTTTATTCATATTTAGGTAAATTTCTTATCTGAAAATGTTTTTCTCATTTGACTTTTCTTTGTTAAAGTTTATAAAATTTGATTTTGATATGCGAAAAAATATATTGTATTATGATATAAATTAAATATCAACAAATTCAAATTGAAACGCAGTTTTCAAATATCAAATTTTTATAGAATATATCTATGTATAAATACAAATATTAATGGTCAAAGTGTAAGCTTAAAGATTGTGAAAAGCCAAACGTGAATAGCATTTCCAGAATTCATTTGTGAAAAAAGAGGACGGGTGAAAAGTCAAATGTGAAAAAAACACAATCTTTTTTTCAGTACTCATTTTTAAATCTTACACTCTCAAAATCAAACTTATACTCTCTAAAAAATAATAGACCTGTTTAAATTACAAAGTAAGTTTTATTGACCCAATAAATTAAATTAATTATTAAAATTAAATAAATCTATAAATAATCTAAAAATTTCTATTTGAAAAAATAATTCTACCTTTTCAAATTTAAGTCATAGTATTATCTATTTTACATACATTCATCAGTGCTTTATTTTTTCTGTCATTTTTTACACTTCATCACAAGTGTAAATATATATAACTTTAATTTACTCCATATATTATTTCTAAAGTTATTTACTTTTAAATTTTTAAAGGAAAAATTACCCAAAATAATCCCAACTTTACCCGGTCTTTCAAAAATAATCCCACCTTTCATTGTGATGCATAATAATCCCAACTTTATTGAAATTTGCCAATTTTGGGTCGCCGTTAAGTTTCTAACGGAGGGTTAACGGAAATGCTCGTTTTATGCAACAAAATGAAAGTTGAGATTATTTTTGATGAATTTTTGTTTTTTAATTTTTTTTGAAATTTTTATTTAAATTTTTTGAATTACTTTCAACCTCCATTTCTTTTTCTTTTTTAAAGATTATTCTTACCTTAGAAAAAAAAGTTATAAAAAATAATGAAAATGAGAAAAATAACTAAAACCATACAAAATTAATCAAATAAATAATGTAATCAATAGAAATTAAAAAAAACTGGTAAGAAATAAAATAAATATATACGGAGTGTTGGGTTTTAACGCTTTACACATTATACGGAGTCTTAATGTACTACTTATTTTTTAAAAGAAAAAGCCGTCATGTAAAGTTGGAATTATTGTAGATAATTTTTTATAAAAAATAAGAATTGATATGTTAATACTTTGTATAGTGCGTAAAATATTAAAACCCACCCGTATATTTTTATTTTACTTTTACCAATTTCAAGTTAGTTTCCATTGATTACCTTATTTATTTTATTATTTTTGTACTCCGTATCATTTTAGTTACATTTCTCATTTTTTTTCATTTTTTTATATCTATTATTTTATTTTTTTAAACTAAGACTAATCTTTAAAAAAGGAAAAAGAAATGATGATGGAGGTAGAAAGTAATTTTAAAAATTTAAATGAAAAATTTAAAAAAAAATAAAAAAAAATGAAAATTCATCAAAAATAATCCCTACTTTCATTTTGTTGCCTAAAACGGGCATTTCCGTTAACCCTCCGTTAAAAATTTAACGGCGACCCAAAACTGGCAAATTTCAGTAAAGTTGGGATTATTATGCATTACAGTGAAAGGTGGGATTATTTTTGAAAGACCGGGTAAAGTTGGGATTATTTTGGGTAATTTTTCCATTTTTAAAATATGTATTCCGTATTACCATAAAAGGAATATTATCGTAATTCGTAATGTATTTTCTGCCTGCTTTGATTTGTACAAGGAAAACAAATATATAGAGTACATCCCACTATTCAAGGAAACCTAGTCAAAGAAAACTCCTACCATACATAATATTATTAACTAATTATAATTAGTAAACTCTAGCAATTACTCCATATGTGCGCCGTGCGTTACTCAACCGTGTGCTAATCATGCATGCCCAGTGATGGAGATTATCATTCCATAATATTATTATTTCCTTTTCCAAACAACTCTAGTATTTCTTTATGTTAATTACTTAAAATATATTTATGTTTACATTTTTATTCTTCATTAAGGTTTATATATTTTCAAATTAATTTAAATTATTAGCTTAAGTTAATTATTTAAAAACAATTGTGGTAAGTTGGTGAATTGGTGTATGTCCACCCCCACTTGAAGTAAAAAAGACCACCGATACAAGGCGATTAGCGATTTAATAGACTGGACCGAATTTAAATGACCACCAGTTCGCCGGTTTTTGGTCTGAATTAGCCAGTCTACTCTAGTTTTTAAAATTAGGGACCCAGATATGGAAAAGAAAGATAATGCAGCATAAAAAGTACACTTTGGTTCCCAATGTCATGGGAACCTTCCCCTAAAAAGTATATAAGGAGGTGATTTGCTATGTTTAGTCTTAGTTCTAAGAAATTATATAAATAATCCATAATTTTTTAAAACTATTTCATACATAATCTTTTAAGTCAAATATGATTATTTTTTTATAATGTCCCAGGAGGACTGAATATAGAATACTTTTTTAAAAATTGAAGTCTATTTATTTAATAACTTAAAATTGAGGATTAAATATGAAAATTCAATTGCAATCTAGGATTATTTATGTAATTTACTCTTTTTTATGGATGATTTTGATGAGTATTTATGGCATTGAAAATGCTTGTCCTCCGTTCCACAAACACGTTCTCTAATAGAATCAACACGATTATTTCGAAAAATTAAATTGTATAATATGAGTCTAAAAACAATTTCATACTCTCTGGGTCCTCGTTTTTATTACGGAGTACAATTTTATTTTCTCTCTCTTCTCGTTAATTTTTGTTTGTTTTTTGTGTTTTCATTAAATATTTGATACGATAAAATATATTCTTGTCACCTCTTATTTTGTAGAATTTTTTATTTAGTTTTTTAACAAGTAATTTTTACTTCATAATCATGCAACAATTTGTAAATAAAATGATTTAAAAAATTATAGAATTTTAGCTCATAATTTTTATTTTGTAATCAAAATATGAACGAAGAGAGTATATCATAAGAGATTTCCCTTAAGACAAACACGAGAAAAAAGTACGGAGTAAAATACTCCGTATTTTTTAAGAGAGAGGGAGTATTATGAGGTAATCTATACTTCGGTATACTTTATTCTCTGTGTTTAAAGTGGAAAATTTATGAGGCCCATGGAGTGTTACTTTGCAGAACCAGAATATATAGGGCGACAAGTAGGGTGATACGGACTGATTTCATTGTCCCACACCGGTTATATGAGGAACTTGGTGATAAGTTTATATAGCCAAGGGTTCTCCCACTTTATCAGCTAGCTTTTAGAGTGTGGCTCTCCCTTGTGCTGTATCAATGGTATCAGAGCCAACTCGGAGTGGTGGCCCACGGAGTGGTAGCCTGGTGAAACCAGCCGTGACCAACGTGGCCGTGACCAACGAGGACGTTGGGCCTTATGGGGGGTCGAATGATACGGACTGATTTCATTGTCCAACACCGGTTATATGGGGGACTTGGTGATGGGTTTATATAGCCAAGGGTTCTCCCACCTTATCAGCTAGCTTTTAGGGTGTAGCTCTCCCCTGTGCCCTATCATAGGGGTGGTCAAAAATATTCGATTCGAAATATTCGTCCATGATCCGGGCCGATTCGATCCGACAAATGAATATCTGATCCGATATTTTAGCTTTCGAATATTTCAGATCCGATATCCGAAAAAATTTTGGTTGGATATGGAATGCAATATTAAGATTTCGCGTATCCGTGGAAATCCGAAGTTCATATTTAAAAAAAATAAATATAAAAATAAAGCTTAGACAACTTAAGCCCAATTCATTTTCATCATCATAAATATTTGAATCAAAGATTAATTGAAGTTTTTTACTTTAGTCTTTTTGTCTATGTTTTTTATTGTCAATTATGTTGATATTCTTTTTTCATACATTTATAAAATTATGACTTATGATGACACCATCAAGGTAACTATGACATCTAAAATAGAGTTGACTTCAAATTCAAGTCTAAATTATGACCTGTACTATTTTAACAAATACAAAAATCATTCTAAATGCTTATCCGATGATTTTTGGATCAGACATGGAATAAATATTTGGCAATCCGAAAATTTTAGATATCCAATAAATCGGATCAGATCGGATCGGATATATCTGAATGAACACCCCTAGAGACGAGAGCATACAAGTCCATAGAAAAAAAAGTGATGACAATGTAATATATTAGGGTGATCAGTCAATCACGCGTTGGTGATCAGCGGTGACACTCTGGTGGCTGGCAGCGACGAATGGCAGTGTGGCGGTGATAGTGTAACAGTTATAATGTGAGAGAGCGTAATAATGGCACTGTGAGCTCCTATATTGGTCTTAAAAAATTATAA